GGTTTTTTTCTTTGGGGTGCAGAAAGCTTTCTGAATTATTTTTAAGTCAGTCAAGCTCCCCACATTTAACATGAAGGCAATGCAAATGTTTGTGGCAGAAAAATTTAGGAAGTTGTATACTTTGCTTTGGATCTAGGAAAGAGAAGCAGTAGCGTAGGAACAACTTACGCTGATACCATCACCAAGAATTCATGTTATGACACAACACTGGCTTTCCCTTTTTGTTCTGGAAACACAGCACCTTGATAAAACTGATGAGATTATCTGAAAGTGTTTGAAATTTCACCTGTACAGGTGATGCTGAGTATTGTGACAGCTCTTTAATATCTTGACCTAGGTGATGGTCCAGTTAGAACTTACTTAAAATTCTGGTTAGATCTTGTAAGAGCTAATTAATAACCTCAGAGTTTGAATTATGAAGTCTCTTACTGTTGTGGTTTTTTCTTTTTCCTGCAAACATCAAAGACAAATCTCTTTTGGTTTTTAGTTCATCTCCTTCATCCTAAGAAGGGTGGTTATAGAGGCCTTATAGAAGAGTGTTGGAGCAGTGTGGGGAGGGTGGTTAAAAACAGTAACTTGGATCCATGAGCAGAAAGAGGAGGTTTACTGAAGCTGAGTGCAGATTGCAGGAGCCTATAAGACCCAGATTTTTTTAAATGACTGACTGCATAGACACATCTTCTTTTGTGTCCGTTGCCTTCTTAAAAATGTTACTTTTACATCATGGCAGTCTTTGTATTTCATTCCCAGTTCAACTGACAGGACCAAGGTCACTGGCCACTTATTTTGTTGAAATAGTGGTTAGTGGAAAAGAGAAGAAATGGTGCTGTAATGTATTGCCACTGATATGATTTTGTACTTTGTGCTGTTAGTGGATGGGAGATCTACAAAAGAGCTGTTGATAACAGCACTTTAAGTAAGACTGGAACAACAACATGTAAATGACTCTAAACTGTCCCCACTGAGTTGGGGTTACCTCGTTGTGTCCCTTGTTCTTTCAGACTGACTAGTTCCACAAGTCAGCCCCATGTGAGAAAGGATTCCTGTCAGCAGAGACCTCAGGAGTTTCCTCACACCTCCTTGTAACCATAATATGGTACCATGAAGAGAGGATGGAGTAATTAGTGAGGTGTCCACATACACAGAGGAGTTTAAATATAAAATTGACTATATTTATTAAAATATGCTTAGATTAATGTTTATAAAGATTAATGTTTCAGGTGTGTGAGCAGTAACACTAAGTAATAAAATCAGGTCCACTGGTGCTTCTACAAATCAGCCCTTAATTTTGCTCTTTACAAAGTGTGAAAGAGTTCCAGTAAATGTTAATAGGTTCATCAGGCAGCACAGAGACTAAATGTTTCCTTTGAGCAGCAGACAAATGCTGCTCCCCAGCATGTTAAGTGGTTGTTTAATGTTGGGCTACTTGTTCTTATGATAAGTCTTTTTTTCTCTTAAGTGAAAGGAAAGGTTAGGTTTTTGAACCATCAGATCAACTGGCCCAAGAAAGGAAAGACAGCAAGCTCATGCAGTTAAATGAATGGTAGAATTTAGCTAACTGTATCACCTAGAAATCCCCTTTTAAAATCCTCATTACTCAAGAGTCTGGCAGAGTCACATCCAGCTAATGGCTTCTGTTCCCTACAAAGACTCAAGTGTAGTCTTTGAAGAAGAAATGTCACAACCCAGGTAGCTGTGCTGCTTAAGGGCTGGCTTCAAGTGGGCCTCAGAGTGCTGGGCAATAGTGTGGGCAAGCTGAAGAGGAGCAGTTCAGTCTGAAAGAACCACCAGAATTGATCTGGGAGTCCCAGATCCCTGCCAGTCTTACTTAACTGACGGTGTCTAGAGCTCTATCTAGTTCACACTAAACAAACTGGGAAAATAACAAAAGATAATACAGGAAAGAAAACGGATTGCGAATACACTTTCAGTTGATGTGTATGAGAAGTAGATTTTAAGACATTTTGTCTCCTTTTTGCACGTGTGGTAGGAAGATAAATTAGAATGAGACAACAATGACAAATATCTGAAGCATTTTAGCAGCATAGAATTGGGAATAATATATCATCTCAACAGGGCTCATATGAGGAAATTAGTATTTGTAGGTATTGGAATCCTGTGTAGCATGGTATGTTTCGATATTTATTTATTTTAACAATTAGAAGCAGATAATTTTATCTTTGATATTGTGTATTGTTTTTCTTGTTAGTAGAATAGGCGAGTGAAATCTTTTATTCAATCAAGGTGTAAGTATTTCTGTCCTGAAAAATAGATAAAACATTGTTCCACAGAGCAACACGTAACTTTCACTGATCTACCCATGGTGCAGAGTCTCCTTGTACAGGAAGATTTCAGTACATTAGAGCATCACATCTGCTGAGTTAACTGCCTATCTGATCTCTTGAGCCCTTCTTGAAGGTGTAATTTTAAAACTTTACCCTTTTCTTATCCTAAAGCTGGAATCCGTCTTCTTTCCCCTCCCAAAGAGAGGTTTAGAGTGAATCACAGAAGTCTTCAGATAACTAGCTCTGCCGTCCTGAACTATGCTGAACATCTTTGCCTTTCATTCCTAGAGGGAAGATGAGAGATTTAGTCAGTAGCTTATTAGGTGTTTACTCATCTCCCCAGGAGTCTTTGAGAGGAATACAGTATATTATGTTTTCTTCCATGGATGTGGCTTTTAATCAACAACTTCCTCTGAGTTCTTGGAAGAAATATAGATTATCTGATACCTAGATTAAATCATCAAGTTCATTTCATTTCAGGACCTTTGTTTGTCAGGCCTCTTGAAACAGGTAAGATTAATGTACCCTCTTTTCATGGAGAAAAGCTTGAAAAGGCTGGATGTTTACATAGTTCCAGTACTTAAAATCTTCCCCTGCCTTCTCCTACCTAGTTTTTATTTCTACAGAAGACGTACACATCAAGACAGGAATTTAAAGCTATAAATTTTCCTCCAGGATTTCTCTGTTGCAAATCATAGTATACAGTTATAGGGCCTGATCTCAAGAACTAAACTCCAAGTCTACACTGAAGGCTAGATCCCAGACTCTTTGAAGTCACTGGAAAAAACCCTTAAAATTTAGTAGTTTAGGGACTTCTTTATGGGGAATCAGGCTCACTTGGATTGAACTGCGGGATTTTTTTAAAGAATTCAGTATACGTTTTACTGGCACTTAGGCCCAGAAAACGTAGGCATTACTGTCAAGCTAGGAAAAGAATACAGCTTGTCCTGTGTCTGGGGACTGGACAGGGCTCTTCTTCCTCAGTGAGTTCCAGTCTCCAGTCCATTGTACGAGTTCCTACCCATGCTTCCATCAGGGGAATAAAGTCCAAGGGAGGAATACAGGGTATATTCATACCTCTCTTCTCTTTACGTATTCTCTGGGGAGTTCAGTACCAAACACAGATGGAAAGCAGCAGGCAGCTGTAGTATTATAAGGGAATGCACCTCTCTGCTACATGAAGAAGAGGTTCCTTATAGCTGTTCAATCACTGCTGTACTGAAGAGTTTGCAGCCTGTGGTGAGCTGACCTTGGCAAGCTGTCAGGCACCCACCCAGCCTCTCTCTGCCCTCCTCAACAGCACACAGGGAGAAAATATGATGAAAAAAGCTCATGCGTCAAGATTAAGAGGGAGATCACAAAGCCAGTGTACCATTCAACTATGTTCAGTTCTGATACCCTTTGCCAGCAGAAAGATATTTCTGTCATGAGGGCAAGAAATCAAATGAAAAAATTGGATTGCACACTACAGTCCCAGGGATTCCCTAGTGTTGGGATTGTAGAAAACTAGGTATGAATTTGTTATGCCTGTAGAAAAAAGGTCCAGTGGCTTAATGTTGGTCAGAACTGCTCAACAAAACTTAACACCACATCAGCTAATGAAGAAAATAAATTGTGTACTAGAAGAGAACTGTGTTTTATTTATTATGTTGAAAATACAGAAGAGAAGTATGAAAATGAGTAAACAAGGGTCTCTCATACCAATCTAATTCTGACTGTCACTCAGATTTTCCTTGTGGCATTGCTGTGGAGGCTGGGGACTAGCTCAAAGAATGCTGCCTCATGAGCTGCTTTGCCAAATGGAGTTTGGGGTTGTATTTAGCCACAGGAACCAAAAGTTCAGCTCCATGTGATTTTGCTTCCCATATTCTCTCACCTAGAGTCAAACATTCATAAATAAACATTCAGTTCACTCTTTATTTACCCCAACTTTCTTACCAGGGAGATTTTCTTTTGAGACAGACCCTTTCCCTTTTTTACATTTTTCCTTCATAATTTATTTCCTGGTACTTAGCTTGCCCCAAGAATGCAATTTCTGGCTTATACAAGATATATCTGTGATAACTTGGGGTTCTTCTTCCCCTATTTCTTGAGATTGAAAAGAAAATGCAGCAAATTACTCCTTCCCCTTTGCGGAGATTGTCTTCTTTTCCAAACTGTTGTAATAAATTATTTACCATGAGCTGTATTCACTGTGCACATATTTTAGCCATCTCTTTATCCCTGGTTCTCAGCTTTTCATACATTATGACTAACTCAGTGGACATGAGAGCACTTATGTTTCCCTGGATGCAGGAACCTGGATGAAGTGACTCAGCCCTGTCTCAGGGCAAGCCCATGTTTGCCTTGCTCCTTCCACTGACACCGTGGCATCCAGGAAGGGCTCAGGCCTGTGGTCCAGCGGGAGCTGTGGCACACTCTGGGCAGCGTCCACACCTGGGCAGCCTGGTTGGTGATCATGCAGTTCAGGCGCACCATTGCCACCAGACTTGATGTGGCTGCAGAGCCACAGCAAGGCCATATTACTAATACAAAATGAGAGATTCGGCATTTAGAGTGGATTTTTTTTCAGAATAATTTCTGCTTTTTCGAAGTATCTTTCCTATCTGCCCCTTTATCAGTTTTGGTGCTTCTGCTGTTGCAAGTCTCAAAGTGGAAATGAATCAGTTGCAACAGCACAGTGAATGTTTCTTTTTCTTATGTTTCTCTTTGCAGATGGCAAAGTAGCTGACATTGAGAAAAAGATTAGAGAAGCTTTTGAGGTGTTTGACCGGGAAAGCAATAAAACTGTGGATGCCAGGTTTGTAAATATATTCACAAAGAAATATTACAGGGTCAAATATAGAGAAAAATAACTCTGGCCAGATCGGATAAGTATGTCTTTGCTGGTTTAATAGACATTTTGTATTGTTCACTGGTTGAAATTGGCTTGAGAGAGAAATACTGAGACTGGTGGTGCAATGGGGCAAGAGGAAGCTGCAGCTAGACAAGAGGTCTAAGGCCACAATTAGTGCTAGCAAATAAATCCCTGCTCTGATAGCTCATTTGGCACTACAGGACCTGGATCCCGTATGAAACTTCTTGCTTTTAGGATATTCCAGCACATCAAGGGGTGTCCCTGCCAGTGTGTGTCACAGGTACCTGCACTCGTAGGTGTTTTCAATGGAAATGCATCCTTCCTCTGGGGTAACATGGGAGATGGATATTGCTTTGCTGAGGAGGTGGTTTTAGGAGACTTGGGAGAAACTTGCCTATAATTTAGTTGTGTATAATTATAATGATAACAACAACAATAATAATATAAAAACTAACATAAAGATGGTCATACTTGATCACACCAAAAATCTCTTTAGCCTAGTACCCTCAGTTGAGCTACCAGTAGTTTCCTAGGGTAGGAATATAAGGAATTTACCAAATATGCAGTATTTCTTGTTGGTTTTGTACATCTGCTACATTACAATTTGAGTGGCCCCTGGTTTATTTTTTCTACCCTATGATAAATAGTGAACACTTGTTCTCTATTATTAAAAATTCCTTAATAATCTTAATTCTAGTATTTTTTAAAGTTTGAGTATTTGGCAGTGCTTCATAAACTTCATTTTAAAGTAAGTATTCCTAGACATAACTATGGCTTTTGTTATAAAATACATAAACCACATGTTTATGTCTCACAGAGCAGGTTGTTATAAGCTATTGTCATAAAAGCTTACTGGAGTAATTTTTCATATTTCCAATTACTACTTTCAAAAGAATATCACCAGAGCTTTTAGTTATAAACCAATTATTGAGCATAAACACTACAAAGGAGTCATTAAACATTCTTCATGAAGCCAAATTGGAAAATATCTTTAAATGTTCCAAACATCTTTTCTACATTCTAGAGCATAGGTGAGAGAGATGCAAAATATTTATGTGATTGTTTTAGCAATGCATGCTTACTAGTGCCTCTAAATTTAAGAAATTTCAGTACTTCATAGAAGGAATGATTTTTCAGCTATACTAGATAGGGGGAATTTCAGGACTATCTCCACACACAGTATAATTGCTGTTCCCTTGTTCACAGGGCTCTTTAGGGAAGAGTGATCTTACTTACCTCTCTTGTCCCATGCCCAGGGAGGTGCCTGATGCCCAGAGATGGAGCTGCCCCAGTGCCCCCCAGGTGCCCTGCTTCTGGATGGGCCCTGGCTGCCTGGCCCCCATGCAGAACCCCCACTGCTACCACCCCACAGCCCTGGGGAGCCCCTAGCCCTCACTGCATCATGGCATACTCATGGCTTATTTGTTTGCCATTTACATCTGCAGTCTTGGCTAAATAGCTGTACAACTTCCCACACTCCTCACTCTATTATATCTAGGATATACAGCTTGATGAAATGTAACAGCAATGAAATGATACAAATAGATCTTTAAAAAATGTATTCATCCAGACAGGAGACATCCAAAAGTCTATTTAACATAGTAAATGCACAATTTCATGTTAATTTTTATTGTAGTACAGTTAAAGACAAAGAATAACAGTTTATTGTTTAATTATTCCTGGGTTCATAGTGCAGGGCTGTATCACAATAACGGGATTATTAATGACCGATTATCTTGTATCAGAAGGTGGCAGCACAGCACAATTCTTAACCACAGTTGCAGACATATGAATATTATTGCCTGAAATATGAGATACCCATGAAAAACATGGAAAATTACACTGGCTCGACAGGCTAACACTGGCATTGCATGACTCCTAATGCAAATACAAATTAGTAAAAAATTAAGCATGAGGAAGATAGTATTGTTTCATGCTGCTTACAACATACTCTCAGTCAAGGACTTTGGTGATTTTGCAAATCTTGCCATTGAAAGTGTTACGTGTAGGGCGAAAACCATGACCCAAAATTTTATTGTGCCTGTGTTACAAAACTTGTATGATCATGAATTTGATTTTAGATGTCATTTTTGTATTCTAGAAACTACATGGGAGAAATTGCAGCTGCTGAACTAAGTGAGAGGAAGTGGCTGGGAGCAAAATACAGTTTCCTATCAGGGTCCTTTAAACTCTGTGTTATTTCCAAGTGGAACCTGACTTTTTTCACCACAGACACTTCAGACAACATCCTCATATTGGCATGCACGTAGGCTGCCAGATACAGCACCAGGAAGGCCAGATTTTGCAGACTCTTCTAGGCCTGGCTTACCTTAGTCACATCACAGTTTTGCTGGCTGTGAGAGAGGTGAGGCAGGAGGGTGATGGCAGCTTTACCATCTCTGGCGTCTGTGAGAGTAGAAATAGCGTGGGACAGGAAGGAGGCAGGATTTGTGTTGGGTGTTCCTCTGGGGGAGGCAAGGAATACTTAGAAATATCTTTTAGCTGGAAAAGGTGAGGGAGTGCAGGAGTGAGAACAACAAATGCAGTATATCCATACTAGATATAGGATGGATGAACAAGGATTATGCCTAAACGCCTGACCTCCCTGACACCAATGGCCATTTGCATCCACAAAGGCAGGGCTTCACCGAGTAATTTGAGTAGATGGCCTCATTTCATAACAACTGGATCTGTGGGATTGGGTTTTGTTTTGTAACTAGTTTTGTCCAGCCTTTTCCTCTCTTTTGTCTGTTGTAGTGCTTCTCAAATGTTTTCAGAATGGGAACTCCTTGGGACCTGTCTGAGGAAGTCAAAGACTTACAATTTTGCATGTACTTGGTGTGCCACATTCAGGGCCTTACTGTTACAAGATTTTACAAAAGTCACTGCGCTTTGTATCTACTATTTTTATAAGGCAATCTGATTTTTCCATCAAATGGAAAAATTCACCACTGGTCAAGATGAACAGATCACAGAGGTTTGGATCATGGGAACCACCTGCACTCTGAATAGATATTCAAATGTACTTAAATTTCTGTGTTGTTGAATTGGATTGGAAATCACAAGCAATAGTGATGCTTCTGTTATTCTGTTTTTAATCGTACTGTAAGTCTCACTAAAGCTTTTTTACAGCTTTGCATTACTTTTGTTTCTAATCTGTGATATTTTTCATCTTACTATTTTGAGGCATTGGCAGTTTGGTCAGATTTTTATTTAGAGCCTCAGAACAGCTGCACCAGGTTCAGCAGTAAATGCAAGCTATGAATATATTTGCAGCATAAACAGAGTGGTGATAAGCCACTTTGTTGTTCTGTTTGAGTGTTTCAGAGCACAGCAGGGACATAGCAGGGCTGTCTCCTTCCTGACCTTTTGTAATTGTTCTTTAATGCAGTTAGAATTTGTATCTTTATAGCATTTAATGTACACATTTTTTTTTTTTACCTTTCATCTCAGTATACTGCTTCCAAGTGTTTTTTTAACTCTATACATGTAGACTTTACTGAAATAAAGCTTAACAATTAGAGAGCAGCAGTTGAAAATTAACTTGCATGCAGCACTGCAACACAGTGGTAAAGAATTTTTTGGGAAAATCACAAGAACAATTACACTCTTCCAAAGAGCTCCAGAGTATTTAATGTCTGTAAAAATAGACATTGGTTACCGAAACATCATCTTAAAAGTCCACATGCAAATGCTTGTGCCTGCTTGTGGGCTTGTACATTGCGGATTCCTACATGCAAACTCTGAACTAGTATCTGGATTCTCCACAGAGACTCTTGTATTGCAGACTTATTGACAGAGATGTTCTTTCTTTCTTTCAGAGATATTGGTTGCATTGTCAGGTCGCTGGGTTGCTTCCCAAGTGAGGCAGAACTACGTGAATTGCTTGCAAAGGTAAATGCTTAGATCTTTTATATTTTTTTCAGTCTTAAACTTGCACAAGTTTGGCCCTTCTGCCTTGGTGAGTGGGAAACCTAAGTTCTGGAAGAGTCATGGAAGTGTTTGGGACAGACAGGCAATCTCTCAGGTTGCCCTGAAGCAAACCTTTAGGCTGGTGAAGTAACAATGCTGATGAGTAAAAATGAGGAGTATTTGACTCTCTATTACCCCAGAGGATCACTGTGCTAAGGTGGAGGAGCATTTATAGAGAATGGACAAAAATTAGTTTTGACTGATGAAAAAGAATGTCCTAAACCTCAGTCAGATTATGATCTCTAAACCCTGACCATCTCACTCCTCAGGACATGCAATGGACACGTGGTGTGTGATTAGGTAATAAAAATTAATTCTTGAGAAGATGTTTAATTCCAAAAATACACAGGGGGAAGGCAGGCCATTTTTTTTCACTAGTTATTGCTATCTTACAGCCAGACCTTTCAACTTTCTGCCCTTCATGAGGTCTCTCCCAGTCTTGAGATTTCTCAGTTATAGATAAGTAATCTTGATTACTTAAGCCTGTAAATCAGGCTTCAGGACATAAAACTCCACAAGACCTAGTAGTCCTCCCCTTCTCTCACTGATATGCAGTGGTAAGGAAATTCAATGACATTTCTCCACAGTATTTTCTTATACTAGTTTTTGTCTCCTTACCCCATGCTTGCAATAGAAAGGATGATGTGCTGGTGCATTGGCAGGGTATGGCTAATAGATGGGATGAAGAAGCGGGAAAAAGTCTTCAGATTCTTTTTGTAAATGGGCATGCTGCCTTAAGGAGTGGATGATGCTGGAGCTGAGAGGTGGGGTAAGGATTTTTCTCCTTTTCATGTGTAGGTCAGTATACTGAGAATTGATCGCTCTTACTGTTTTCTTCCTGCCCCAACAAAAATTGGATGGTTGCAGTAGTAGTCTCTCCTCAGTAGACTTGTCTGATCTCCTGTAGATCAGAATTTAGTGTGAGAAATCTTGTGCTAAGTCTTGTGAAAAATGACACAGCTGCTTCAGATGAGGAAGTGCAAAGAACCATCGGAGGAGAAAGCTCTTTTAACATGATACTGCAATCTGTCTGCTCTGGTTCTGTACTCTCAGTTCCAGATTGTCCCAGCTCCCACTGACAAACAAGGCAATATAGAACTTATGGTGCTTAATATAGATGATATTTTTAGTGTCCCATAGTAACTTTTCTTTACAGCAAATGAGCAGTGCAACTGACTCAACATACAGAATTGTGAAAAGGAAGGGGATACTTTGACAACCCCCTTCAGTTTCAGGAGAATCTGGAGAGTTTAAGGCCTGCCTCTGCCTTCCAAAGAGATTGGACTGTGTTTTCTTACTCGATTTTGAACATTACTGAAAATTTGAGATGAGTAATACATAACAAAGTACAATGCAAATCAGCCACAAGGCAAACAATTCTTGAGATAAAACACTGTAACATGTATGCAAATGTTGATTATAAGGATATTAAAGTACAAATACTGCAAGAAGAAAGAATATATTCAAGAGTAATGGTTAACCTTAAAGAACACTGAACTGGAAATCAAATATCAAAGAACAGTGCCTGTAAGTGAAATCTTGGCATAGGTTTAGTACTAGAAGAACACTGCCTTCTTGTAGAACCCTTCATATATTATGATAATCAGAAATATATCTTAGTTTGTATAAAATACCATTACAACTGACTGTGGTAATACCATTTCATCTTAATCTAGATAAAGTAAAAATTGTGTCCGTTAGCTGGTTTGTAACTAAGCTACTTCCCCAGTATTATTGCCCGTTGTAAACAGTGATTCATTTCTTTCTCACTACTTGTGCCTCTCAGTCGTCTGATCTTCCTGTTAGCCTTTAATTGTAGTTAAACTAGTGTATACTGCCATCAAATTATTCATATCTGTAAAATCAGCATTCATATAATTATGTTATCTCTATAACTTATCATTACTGTTTCCTAGATTGCCTTATACTCAGTGTTATACTTAATATCATATCTTTATGCCTACTTACAAGTTCAAGGTTGAATGATAAGCCTAGAGATGGTGAAAGCTAATCTAAGGGTCATTGCAGTGCCTGGAGTTCGGTACACTGCTCTGCCTGGATCACTCTGGAAGGCTTTTTTGTTTCTTTGTGACTCAAGTCCCCCAGTGTTATGTGGACAGAAATAGTATGGGTGTGAGAGTAGAGATACAAAACATAACGGGTGCCACAATACAATTGTTATGGGAGTTATGGATGCATCCAAAGGAAGGAAACAGAGCAAAGCTCACAGAGTGTGAACATGCAAATACAGTTATTGTGAAAAAAGGAGGAATTACAGAAGAAGGAAAACAATTAGAATGAGATGTAGAACAGGAGTGAACATGAGAAAGAGGATACATATACCTGCAAATCCCAATACTTAAAGATTTAGGCAAAGTTAATATATGCAATTTATCCACATATCAATCCAGTGTGAGAAATAGGATTGATTTTAACTGCTCAGGATGTTTCTGGACCTGTAGAGCCTCTGAAATGGAAGCTGTTTCTTCCATGTCAGAGGAAGCTGAGGTTGCTGATGTTGCTGATCACCTCCCAGGACTAGGTTTTGCAAAGTATTTTTTACATCTTTTCAATCAAGCAAGCAGTAACACACATGATTCTGTAATGGTAAAAGGTACCATTTGATACAGTACGAACGGCTTCATTTCCTTGCTAAAGATCCCCTCACTAGGCTCACCAAACAGAAGGGAATATGTTTTTTTACAAGCCAATTTCCACTCTAAAGCAAGAGGTAATGACTGTTTTCTCTTAGCACCCAAGCCCCTTCAAGAACACTGTAGAAGAGCACGCAGCAGCTCTCCTAAGCAAATGGAAGTATCGGGAACCACCCCAGCTCTGACCCAGCTCCCAGGAGGAAGATTCCATACTAAGTGTTTCCTGGCTCAGAAGATTTCAAATTAGTGCCTATTTGAGTTTTCCTTCAGTCTGAGCTGTGTCTCAGAGAGCCTAGCAAGGTGTTGATGCTGCCATGTGAGACCTCAAGGCGTGCATCCAGTTTCAACATAGATGGGAACAGGCTAGCTCCATTAACAGGGCTCCTTTTGGGATAAAAACTTGAAATTTTCAGGGAAGGGGTGCACCCTGATGACAGGGAGCAGTTTTTACCATGTTGCTTATCTCCTGTGGAAGTATAGGAATGAAGTGAGAATGCTGCTAGAAGTCCCTGATGTTTTGGGACTAATCTGTTAATTTGCTTGGGAGGCAAAAGGAAGGTTTTCTTTGTGTAGCATTTTATGGGCTGCTTTATGACTGTTTTGGACAGCCCTGACTCTGCCTGCCTGCCTCTCGGGTCCTGATGACTCTCTTTGGCTATGAAATGTGTAGAGGCAACAAATTCCATCCTTGAGATGTACTAGGCAGGGGCTATGTCCAAGCTAGCCCATTAAATATGCCCAGAAACATACGTGGGTGTTGAAGCCAGCTGGCATAGAGCAGCTTGTGTCTACCCTGGTAAATCTTTTATGCAGAGTGGCTGCACAACGTATTCTTCTGGGGAAAATCCCTTAAGGTCCCAGCCAGGATCTGCCGAGGGGAATGTTGGATGGCACAGGCCAAAATCATGCCAGGGAATGTGCTCATGGTTTGCTGTAACGTGTGGTCACATTACGCTGCTTGGGAATGTTCCAGATCCTGATAGACTTTACTAGTACGAATTCAGTCTGAATGTTGAAACCTCTGCTGAGTTATTGTGGAAGATAAGATCAGTTACATCGTGTCAGGTTCCTTTGCAGGAATGGTTTCAAAGCACAAGAGGGCAATCTTGAGTTGTTGGAAGTGTCTATAATAGCGGGCCTGTGTTTTCCCTGGGATATTATTTCTTCCTCGAATTTTCTTCTGTTTGATCACAAGCATTTCACTCAGATGTTGTGGTGCCCTGTGATATTAAAGACTTGATATAAATATTCAAAGTCTAACTCTGTAGTTTTAATGCAAGAACTACCCCAATTTTCAGTTTTTCTGTATTAGTTTGCTAATGAGTCATATACCCTGCAATAATTAAGTTTTATTTTTAGCTAGTAGAAAAAGAAGAAGAAGAAGAAGCAACCAGATTCATTCCTCTGGAAAAATTTCTTCCAGTGATGACAAAAGTACTACTCGACAAAAGGTAATGGAAAGTGAATTTTATGTGTCTGTAGTTTATTCCAGATTGACAGGGATGATTCTGAATAAATATATCGACAGAAATTCTATATAACCGGAAGTGACGCAGTCTTGTCTCGGGAAAAGGCACACAAGACAGCACTGAACACCTGCACAGCCCAAAAGCTGATCCAATTTATTTAACAAAATGGAGGGTTTTTATAGGGCGAGGGGGTGAACATTCTGGAAAAAGGGTGGAACTTGGGCGGAGCATGCAAATCTGCTTAACATCATTGGATGGAGGATTATGCATAAACATTAGGAGGTGGAAACTTGGGAGGAGAAAACTGGGGATAACCGGATTGGTCAATACCTCAGGGTAATCTGACCAATGGGAAGCTGTATCCAAGCCTGTCAGGCTGTCAGTCCATAAGGGAGAAAGGGAAAATGGAGGGAAGGCAACCTACGAATAGGTTTTATGTTCAACTAAACCACTGCAAACAGTTTCTTAGGTACATTGAGGTCCGTTGTTCATTTTCACAAGTTGGCTTTTCCATTCTTCAAAGGTAGTTTCACTGTCTTTAGCATCTTTCCATTTTCTGAATGCACCTTCCATATCTTCATAGACACCTTGATCTCCAACATGGAAGAAGTACAGATTTTATTTGTCATTTAAGCTCACTTTACATTAGCTAGATAGACTTTGTTTCAAAATTACTTTGTCCACATAAAATTATGTTTTACTGATGATATAAATATCATGAATTGTGATAACAAGTAGCTTTTGTATTTTTAATGGGAATCAGAATTAACTTGCTGTTGAACATTTTTTGTGTATCTAAAGTGTTTTGGATGCAAATTAAGGTCATAACTATTACTTTCTCTGAACATATGGGTTACGGTTACTGAGAAGCACAGTCTGTTACGGTATTTTAAATAACTCATGTAAACCAGCTTCATATTCATGTCTCAAAGTGACAGCCAGGTACAGCTGAATGTATACAACTAGCACTCTAAAAGATTGCTGACCTAAAAGTCTCAAACAAAACCACTGTTCATTATACAAAGGTGCATGGAAGTCTTTGCATGTACACAGGAACTTGTGCTATTTTGACATTTGCACATAAGCAAGATTACTTACAGGGAGTTTATCTTTCCTTGTAAAGATGGTAGTGAAGGCTTTTGAAAAACTCAGTCTTGTCCAATACCAAGGAGTTATTTTCCACACAGGGAGCCTTTGGTAGGAGGGCGTTCTAGACATGAAATAGCTGTGGCTCCACACTGATGTTCACCCTTTCACACAATGATGCCTTGCTTCTCTGGGCTCTCTTCTCCTCCTCCACAACCTCTCCACACAAACATACACACACACAGAAAACACCTACATGCTTTCCCCAGGCTAGTTCAGGCTTGTCAAGACCCACTTTATCTTTTGGGGCACTCTGTCCATGGTTCACTTATCCAAGGGTACATGAGATTTGGATCATAAAAACCAAGACTACTTCTTAGAACGTTTGATTTTTAGTTACTAAAAGACTGAGGCGGGTCTGGACAAAGCAATGAAGCAGTTAGAATCTCCCTGGATTCAGCTTCTGTTTAGTATTCTGGGGGGTTGGTGAGAGTCTGCTGGGATGTGGAAGCTCTCAGTTGCTGCACAGAGCCTCTTTTCCATCTCTGAAATCAAGCACGCATATGCATGCACACATGTGCCCAGTTCTCCCATCTCTCTGAAATTGTTAGTGACAGACCTTTTCTTTTAAAGCTACCAGCCTCCTTTGCTCATCATCGACTCATTAGACTGCCCAAGTCCCACAGGTGATCTGTTGCCTAGCTACCAGTGTACCTGGACAAAACTTTGTTTTCTTGGTTTGGCCATCTTCCGTGCAGTGCATTGGCTATGTGGGTGATTCAGCTGTTACTGACTCCTGCTAACCCACTCAGCCAGCCCAGACATGCAGAAGCCATTCTTCTGGCTCCTCAGCACAAGGGAAGTTAAACAGTAGTACAACAAAAGACAAAAGAGTTAAATATGTGGACAGTTCCAAAAAGTCTGGCTGGAATTAAATGTTTGATAGAAAAACTTGTCAGTAGTCACAGAAAAGTAAGTTTTTCTTTTCCATTAGTACTTGTGTTTTGATATTTCAGAACATTGGCAAACAGTAACTTAACTTTTCTGATTCAATGGTTTCAGCTACTGGCCTATTCGAGAAGATGTTCTTCTACATGCATTTGAGGTCTGTAACTAAATATTCAAGTACCTTGTTGCTGGGAAGAAGTTGCTGCTTCTTGATACAGTATGGTTAAAACTACAAGTTTTATTCTTTTTCTTTAAAGGCCTTGGATGAGAATAAATGTGGATATATTACTAAAGAGGACCTGGTCAAATATTTGACTGAAGAAGGTAACATGACTTCTGTAATATCAGTATTTAAGTAAAAAGCATTACATGTGTATATAGCACTTTGAGGTCCTTAGTCAGCGTGCCAAAACCTGCGGGTTTTTGTCTTCAAAATCTCTGATCTTCCTAAGGTTGTGACCCTTTTTCTGTCCTCCTGTAAAATTGTAGCTTAGATTTGCAGATGTTTCAGGTAGTTTCAGTGCTCATTCATTCTTCCATTATCTTGATCTTAATTCTAGAGCCATACACAAACCAAGAGATTCAAGGGCAAGATTGAAGTTGTACATCCTGTAATCCTCAATATCCCTTGAAGAGCCTGCTTTTCTTGCATGGCTGACTCATGCCCGCCTGCCTCAAGTACAAACCCTCAGATGTTAACCTGGTTCTCAAAGAGGGATGATGTGGGCCAGGAGCTCCTAAAAGAGAAAAACGAGAGGTCTTTCATGATGTAAATAGAAGTGCAAGGATAGCCAAATGAGAGATCACAATAATGTGCACATTAGAAAAATTCCTTTTGACAAAAATGGTTGTTTCAAAATCCCCGCGGCAGAGAGGAATAGGCTGTTTTGGTGTCTGTGAACTAGAAGATCAGAAGATCCAGATCCTTTGCCTCCTTTCCCTTAGAACGGCTCACTTGGTGTGCAGGACTTATATTGGCAAAAGTGAAGGAATCAGATCCTTAGTTTTTCTCCTTTTCTTCTCTATGTGAGAACCAAAAGGAGATTCTTTCAAGGGAAAAGCAGTATAATTTGCTAATCCTGGAAAGAATACTTACCAAACAAAGTGTTATTCTCTGCTGTCTTTCAGGTGAGCCCTTTACTCAGGAAGAAATGGAAGAAATGCTCTCTGTTGCTCTGGATCCAGAAACAGATACTCTTCACTACAGAGACTACCTTTCAAAGTTGGTAGTAGATGAAGCTAAGATCTTCCCCTTTCATGTTTGAGATGCCTCTTGGTAACAACAGTGAGCTTGGCAGATAGTTGAAATGTGTATTTTTAAGTATAACAAATCTCAGCTTGTGACTTGATGCTTATAATTAAAATAAAATCTGTGAAGTTATATTTCTTTGGGTTCTGTGTATATATATATATATATATATATATATATATAAATATATTCACACCTGGCAAAAGAGCTCTTGACAGAAATATTGTGTAAGGTCTGGAAAAGAGATCATGGAATTTGGTTGGAAAATAACAGGAAAAATAATGTTAATTGAGTCAAGAAATTACTTTACAATTGCTTTTGAAAAAATAGTGGAAAATGAGACCTATGGAAGCAGGTAACAAGTAGGTAAGTGAGTATCTTAAGGTGAGTAATACTAGTAAGATAAAGCTTTTATATTTAAATGTAATTCTTGTTTGTATTTAGCTAGTCAGACACCAGGTAGGGTACACCTTTTGAAATAATGTAATAGCTCAAATAAGCTGTCTGTAATTTCTAGTTGTTTTCAAATATTTTTGTTTTGTTTACCATAAGCAATTGAACTGGACCAGTTAGTTCCATTTTATGTAACTAACCTACTGACATATGCTTCCATATTTTTTCCTTCCATTTTAAACGTGCAGCTAAGACTCCAACCATTGCCATAGTCAAGTTTACAGACAAAGTAATCCTTGAGAACATTACTGTAGGCAATAAACAGAAGTTCCCCTTTCAGAGCCAGTTTGAAAGTCAGTAACTTCAAGTCTTCAAAACTTAGGATCACAGGAAGGGAATTTGATTTTCATGAACTGATGAAGCACCATTTTTTGAAAGATGTTACTGTAGAATAGGTGTCTCAGCTTTCCTTGCTGGCAGACTACAACAGACCTCACAGCTCTTCTCACTTCTAGTTTAATAATTTTCTTGACTGTTACTGTACTTCTGTTCCTTAACTTGAGTTCAAGTTCCTTCCCGTTGAGCTCTTGCCTTGTACATCATCTTCTAACAAGTGGCCAGCAGTTGCCCTCAATTGATGAGGTCTCAGTTTGTAGAAGATTCTGTGGTCTGGTCCTCAAGGGCACCATCTTACACTTTGTACTCCACACCTTCCACCCCATTTGTTTTTCTACTCTCTATGAATTTTGCTTTCCTCCTGTACTGTGTCCTACCACTCCTCTGTCTTAATTGCATATCCCAGCTCTGTGTCATCCACAGACCCACAGCTGATGAAATCTGGGGAAAAACTGACACACAGAGGCACTGAGTGCCTTACCCTTCTCATGCCCGTCTAATGGCAGGGCTGAGACTCCTCCTCATGTCAGGTCTTTTGCTTTACCCATTTGTTTCCCTTGAGCTGGAAGTTCAGATGAGCTGTTCTCGTGTACAGCTGCAAGGGAACTGCTGTGCTTCACGAGGAAGAAGTTGGCATGATCTAAATGTGGTGATGGAAGCAGTCTGAAAGAGACCATTTTTTAATTCCGTTTTTTCTTCTCTATCCCAAGTTGTCTTTCACTGATATTTTCTTAAACAGCAGGGCAATGAAGAGTTAATGCAAGTAGACAACATCTGTCTAGTTCTAAGCTGGGTTTCCATTTGGAAAACACTGTTGCACTGGTCCAAAGACTCTGGGATGCACTCTGATTAACACATTTACTGTGTGTTTCACTTCACTGTCAGAAAGAATGAAAAACAAAGGCAATCGCTGGTGTTATACTGGTTGAAGATAGAAGTTTTTGAAGATTAAAGCAAGAGCAATAAAGACCCGTTATTAGCCTTGTTCAGGCTCTCTTAGGAAGCTGAAATTATTTTCCCTAGATGAATTCTTCTTCCATTTGATATACAGTGTGTTATATTGGATTTCTGACCCAGCCGGCGGGAGTACAAGTTTCATTTGTATTCTGCAATCTTTGAGTCCTTGTCAGCCTCATCTGTGATGTCAGTGGGAAGATGCTTATTTCAGGATGGATGTCATCTCCTAGCTCCCAATGCTCCACAGAGAGCACAATTTGTTTCTGTTGGTGCTGCCCCAGAGGCCACCTCAGCTGATGCTGTGTCAAATCAGGATACCCATGTACAACACAGTTACAATTCATAGTGCAGACAGGTTCTTAACATACATCCTTTTATGATATATATATTTTTTTAACCTACAGTCCTCAAATGCAAGAGAAGAGGGTATTCTGGCAAATGATTGTGTCTGAATTTATCATCTAGCATCTCCTCCAGCCTTGTCTTCTTATACCTGTCCCCAAGAAAGATACGTGCAAACAGGACAGACAAAAGCAAGTTGCAGTCTTCTCTTTGGGCATACACAAGCATATTCCATTGCCTAGAGAGTTTCCAAACTGGGGGTGAAAGAATTGTCAAGAACTAATCCCAGGCTCTAGGGTCCTAAAAGCTGAGTGCTCCCTGCCAGCAGGATCACATAGCAGTGATCTGACCAGCTCATGAAGGGGCTGCACCACGGGGTGCCCCAGAGGCACCTGAGCAGTGGCCACACATGACTGTCCCCTTACCCGTGTCTTTCATGACTTGCCAGCCCATGCGGTGCCCACCCATTTCCCCATGGTGGTGGTAGGCTGCATGAGGGGACTCTTCAAAGCTCCCTGAGGTGGGTTCTCTGAGTGCCCTCCATCTCTGTGCTGCCTGGGGATGAGCAGGGACCCATACTCTAGGGGAAGGTAGAGAAGACTTAGGGAACCACTTTGCTGTAGCTAAACCCCCTCTTTGTTTCCAGATTTGAAGGCAAAAATATGTTATTTTGTCCTCATCTTTGAGGTGGACAAATTGAACTGCTGAGTGGTCTTGAGCTATCTCTTGCTGCATACCTCTCCTTGCTAGCTGTTTTGCCTCTTCCCTCAAGATCAAGAACCAAGATAAGGAATTGGATCACAAGGAGAAGTCTAGGGAGGAACCAGCCTAGCACCTGGACTAAATCCACACAGGGAAGTAGAGCCAAGGCTTTGAAGAAACTGGGGAAGTCAGAGGGTTTTTGACCTAGAAGGAGGGAGAGGGAAGGGAACTCATTATCCAGACGTAAAAAAGAAAACAAAATTAAAAGCAAAAGAAGAAAGAAGCAAACACTGGAAACGATCTACAAGTACAACTGAATCAGCAGACTCTTTACACCACTGCTGTAATTTG